CCTTATTGGGAAGTATTTGTTCATTAAATCTGGCATTTGTTGAGTGTGGCTTTTAGCAAGTTACTTAGTATGTTCTTTAGTTTCCTCAGTTGTAAAAACAAGGATAATTAATAGTTCCCTTGTAGGCCTGTTGGCAAGGATTAAATGCATTACTAACTAGAAAGCTCTTAGATGAGTGCTTGGCATATAGTAAACACTTTGTAAATATTAACAATTGCCCCTGTTGTGAACACCAGCTAGTGTAGTTATGTAGGGTAAACATGCAGAAAGTAATAATGTTCCCTTTTTTATTAATGTTTTTTTATAAAGACAAATAATACATGATGGGAAACTGACAGTCCAAGATAGCATTTTTTAAATGGTACAGAACTTCAAAAGAAGACACTACCTGGTTAGGGAAAGCTTTATGAAGATGTAACTTTGGTTGGTAGAGGATGAAGAAATTTGAGATGGGGAAGCAATGGTTTATAGGTGAGAAGGACCAAGAGATTACGCACGTGTGTAGAACAGGGGTTGTATGTTGGTGATATAGCGGACTTTAAAGTTGGAAGGATCAGATAGACGCTATAATGAAGAGGCCCCTTGATAACTAAGGCAGACATGTTTTTTTCCCCTTCCAATAGTAGTAATTCACAAAAGTCTTTTTAAGCAAGAAGCTAAGATGACGCATATTTTAAGGAGGGATGACTGGAGGCAGGAGTGCCTGTTACGCCCATCAGCAGTAATCCTGAAATAAAGGGGACTAGGATAGTGTAATGAAACATTTAAGGTGGGAAATAAGAGAGATGTAAAGGAAGACTGGATCAGACTTGGTCTAATTCAGAATTAAAATTCAGAGATGATTTAAGCATTAAAGATGTCATAACTTTTAAATACTGTATTATAATCATCTACCTAGTTTTGCCAGTATATTGTAAATAAATACATAGAAGTCGTTTTGGATTTAGGATTGGGGAAATCCAGCATTAATTCAGGTTTTCCAAATTTTAATTGAAATACAACCTACAATGTAGAGGAGAGCTTAGTAAAGTATCTTACTCTAATGTGCCTAGACCAAGGGAAAACTAGATTGGAAATGGTCTAGAGGCACACTGGTGACAATGTTGTTGTGTATAATTACAAACACTGAAAGCAACTTGTGCTGACTTGCAGGGTGGCATTTCCAACATTTTGGAGGAACTGGTTGTCCAGCCTCTGTTGGTTTCAGTGAGTGCTTTGACCCTAGCAACTGAAACTGTTCGGAGCATTCTGAAAATTGATGATGTGGTAAGTATATAGAGATTGCAAATTCCCTATAAGATCAAAAGGGCATATATCTTTGAAGGTTTTTATTTTTGATAAACGTTTGTTTGGATATTAAGTTCATATTTACGGTTTTATCTCAAAATGGGGGGAATTTGATTAATTACCTTAAAACATCTTCCCACCTTAAAATTCTATCATCACAGGTTTTGAAACCTAAGTTTTTTCTCTTATCAGGTAAACACGCGATAATCTGGATAACTGGTTGACTGGCATCATAATGGCCACCAGTACTTCGGCTACTGTGGAAGATGATTGCCTTGGTGGTCCTTATTGTTTGGAAGATTGTTTCCTCTATGAATTCCCGAGCTTGGTCTTCCAGTTGGCATTTGTTTGAAATTGTATTGAAACAATTCAATGAAAATATTAAATATTTGGTTTGAAAAGGCAGATTAATTTATCTCCTCCCCAACATTCTTTTATTTCTGATTCTTTTGAAAAACTTAGAAGCAGGGAAGAAATTAGTTTATTTTTACATGTTGACTTACTTATAAATTAATCCTGGGGATTTTCCTGACTTTTTACTCTACATAGGCATTTTATCCATTTGATTTCTGTTTGTTTTTTTTTTTTTAACAAGTATTTAGAAGAAAAAGTGGCCCAATATAAATGTCCATTGGCATTAAAACTATCAAAGTGTAAGATATATGCTGTTTTAAAAGTTAGTGGTACACAGAGATACAAAGTGAAAAATGAAAGCCTCCCTAATCTTACTATGCTAATCCCTCTCCCCAATAATAACCCTGCTGTGTGTTAATTAGATTCCTTCTACAAATAAATATGTAGCAAATCTTACTTGTATAAAAGGGCTTAACTAATACGTCTCATTTCAGTGAGTTTAAACATCTATTCTACACATATTGCAGCTAGTGATCTTTTTAAACATGTTAAATGTTCCCTTTATAAAAGCTTTCATGCCTTTGGATAAAGGCCAGATCTTTAAGGTGGACCACAAGTTTGGTCTACACAATCTGGTACTTCACCTACCATTTCTCCTCTTGGTTATTTCATAAGGAATGTGATGAAAGCAGTTGGGCCTATCCTTAGAATTGTGGAGAAATAATTTCAGCCAACCAGTCTGAATCTCCTTTTCAATCTATCACAGAACTCAGGTAGTTAATTTGGTAGTGTAAGTCTAATATTTTTAGATATGGATTTGTATATTGTCTGGAATTTAGTAGTTTAATTTGTTCCTCATTTTAATGGATTATTGAGAGTTTGTGTACAATATGCTAATTCTAGCTGTCATAAAACAGTTGTCATGTATATCCTAAAATCTTTGAAGTCAAAATACTTCTCATCCATGTTATTTATATTGAATCATGTATCAGTTACTCAGCACAAGGTAGGTTTTTTTGTGTGTGGATTTTGGTTTTTTAAGAGAAGGGGTTTTTGTTGCCCAGGTTGGAGTGTAGTGGCTATTCATTGGTGCAGTCATAGC